CCCCAAAACCCCAAAACCCCAAAACCCCAAAACCCCAAAACCCCTAAACCTACTTTTGTTATTGAAAATTATTATTTCCCTCGTATTTAACATTAAAAATGGCAGCTAGTTCATCGTCAATAGAGAAACATTTTCAGGACCAGAACCAAAGCCAGGAGCTGAGTAATAGAGTCAAGAGGGATTTTGGAATGAGCGAGCGAAGGAGGGGCCTCCATGCACCCAAGTTTAGCATGCCTGTGATGACTAAGGAACAAAAGATAATACTGAAACAAGTGCTTAACAGAAGAAAGTCAGTAAGCAAGCAGCCCAAACCAGTTCAAAAAGATTTCATGTAAGGCTATAATTAGGCTCAGGTGGTGAAAATTTAGACCAAAGAGGCTCAAAAGACAGCTGAAGAGAGTCAAGTTAGTTATTGAGCAAGAGAAGAAAAATAGAATGGAGAAAAGACAGAAGAGAAAACAAGAGATAGAACGAAGACAACTGGAGGACCAAAAGTATGATTATTTCATAATTAGGCCTCTTTATTCTCCTCATTTTGATGTTCTAGACCACTTTTTCTCTTAATGAGATAACTTATGATTTGATATATAGAAAACGAGAAATAGAAGAAAGAGAAAGATATGAAAAAGCTAGCCCGTAAAGATAACGAATAATTAATAGATTTCTACGTTTACAGTTAGGTAACTCAAGAGAGAAACAAGAGGATTCTTCTCTAGGTCCTTCTCCCGATTCTAAATAAAGAGTTCAAAAGGAAACCTAAAATCAAAATTAACAGGGATTTAGCTTCAAATATCAGCAGCGTGAATGAATCTGTTATGTTTAATGACAATACTAATCAGAAGTTCTCTCAGAGCAAGACTAGGAAGTATTTATTGGGCTTAAGAGTTTAGGATGAGACTAGACACTCAGAAATTTGGTGTATCCCCAGAAAAGAACATGTACACTCAAAACTCAAACTTTACAACAACTTGAAGAAAGGAAGAAAGTCCTCTCATTCCTCTTGAGCCGTGCCCAAAACCAAAACTTAAAAATATAATCAAGCTTAAAAAGTCTATAAAAATCAACTTCCCCAACCCTAAGGTAACTTCACCCTCTAAACCCTCAGAATCCTTCCAAAATACCCTCAGCACTCTCCAAAACACCATCTCTACCCTCTTCATTCTCAAAGCCCCTAAAAACCCCTCAAAATCCCCCAAACCCCAAAAATCCCTCACACAGATCGCTCGCCGCCCCAAAAACTAGCCAAAACCTATTCAAATTCTACTCTTCTCCAAATTCTCTAATCAGCAGTCATCTCCGAAGATCGCACAAAATCTACCAGTCAGCTAGCTTTACTACAAGTACCTTCAATCAGTGATTTATAGGATCTCAAAATGTGGAAATGAGCCTAAATGACATTAAGAAAGAGGAAAGAAAAGTGAAGAAGTGGGCCAATTGAATGAGAGAGAGGGTAGATAGAGCAATAAGTGAATGAGGGATGTATGATTATGAAGTTAGGAATGAAAGGAGATTTATGGATGTCATTAGGAATAATGAGGTTTATGAGTAGGTGAGGGAGGATTGGATGTGGGCGTTTGGTTGGGAATTGGATTTTGTACTTTTTAAGTGGTCTTAGGTTTTTAATCACAAATGAATTCAATTTTTAGAAGACTTAGCGGGGTTTTGGGGTTTTGGGGTTTTGGGGTTTTGGGG